TTTTGGATATTAGGAAATGCTTCTTAGAGCAGTAAATAACAGCATAGTTCTTTGGCTTTCTCATTTGGTAGGCTGCACGCTTAATATTGTTCCTGCAGCAACTTCTAGCTTTGGAAAACAAGTGCCTCACTACCATGTACATTACAATACGACAGTATCCTAAATTTCATGTATTCTACTGCATTATCCTTCAGAATAATGTAGATACCTATAAAACAAAGGATCCTGGTAGATATCAAATTCACAGCTTTACCCATGCTTTACCAATTAATCTCTCCTATTATGCCTTGACATGTATTTAATATCATAGGCCGCACCACCCCTGGTGAAAATACCTTACAAGATGATGCTAGATGCTCATCTACAAGCTTTGGGCCTTCCAATGGCTGAGTACCGTACCAAGCAGTGCAATGGCGCAAGAATCTGTGCGACTGTTTTTCCACACGCCTGGATCGTACCTTGGAAATGATGACAATCGAATGGCTATCCCTGGAATACAATATATAAATTATGCAATGTCGGAAGACACAGCTGCTATGGAAGCAATTGGGTACATAAAACACATGGTGAAAACAGAAATAAGAGACTACAATTACAGTGCTATGAAGAAGCTCAAGGAAGAAAATAAATCGCTGAAGCATGAACTGGTTATAGCCAAAAAACAGAAAGAAAAGATGAAGACCAAAACCAAGTCCATGAAGAAAAATCTCAAGATGGCCAGGTACAAAAACAAGAACAATGCAATGGGCTGGTTTGTTCTGACAAGATACATGCATGGGCTCTCTAATCATATATGCAATGTAACGGCGCTCAATAAATCTGCTGGTAAAGAACCCATAGACCTGCTTATCAATGAGCCTCTTATCAACATCGAGAAGGTGGCGGAAAGGATCAGGCGTAGAGTGATCAAGTCAGAAAAGAAAGTCAGAAGCATCAGAAGGGGGTTTTAGAATGATGCGATGGAAAATGCCCTAGCCTAAACCTTTGGAAGTTGTGATGTATTTTCCACCTTTTGTGTAACCTGCAAGGAGTAATGAACCAAGTTGTACTTTTGCTTTCTGTTTAGACCACGTTCAGACCAAGAGTTAGCCTACCTATGTACTTGAGCACTACTGATTGTTTTATTCGAAATGTATGGGTTTATGTTGTCTGTGCCTACTACATTCCTGTTAAGAAAATAACTTCGGCCTGGTCTCGCATTGGCCGTGAATAGAGGTGCAAAGAGGATATTATTCGCCCACAACAATGGGCTGTGACCAGCAATTTCAACATCAGCCAGGGCACCTTTCCAACCAAACTAAAAGAAACCACCAAGGCTTGCTATCCTTTGCTACAAAGTATTTTGCTGGATACTATAGTTTCTTTTCCAGTTAACAAACGCAAAATACTTGATACCTTAAAACAAACATGATTGGAACCTTAACAAAGAGCCCATAGCTCACACATAGTTCATATTTTCAATCATCATTGCATTACATAACCATCACAACGGAGAGATTGCTAACAAAAGAAACACATACTGCCTGCGCAACCCAACACACCTAGCTAGAGTCCATGCAACAACTAAACTTACCTAGCTAAGAGCCCATAGCTCAAACATAGTTCATGGTTTCTATCATAATTGCATTACATAACCATCATGACAAAGACATTGCTAGCAAAAGAAAGGCATATTGCCTGTGCAACCGAACACACCTAGCTACAACCCATCAACAGCTAAACATACCCTTATAGAACACCTTAACATACTCCTCCTTAAACGCTGCGTTGTAGCCACCTGCAAATGCACGTGCTTTCTTAGACGATGCAATAAAACAACAATCCTTCTACAGATTAAAACACAGTGCATATACAAACCTTTTAGATCTTGTGAACGGTGAATTCTGGTTTCCCCTTGCGAACTCGAAGGGAGAAAACACAGATATCCCCTTTTGTCAGCTTTGCTTTCTCTGCAAAGTTACCCCAGTTCCGTGTTATGGTAGCCCTGTTGTCCACACCATTAATAAGGCGAACACGCCTTACACAACGTCCAGATGATAGCTGAATCTTTACCCCATCAACAGGAGTAGCGATGAAATCCGCTAGATGCTTCTTCGTAAACACAACAGAAAAGTACTACAAAAGAACACCAAGGCTATAGTCATGTGCCATGATAAACTAATAAACCAATGCAGATATAAATGTTTTTTGAGATTTCAAACCATTCTCTGCCCAAGCTTGGCAAAAGTCTTATTCAGCTCACAAACATAGTGGCCGATAGCAGGCTCAACTGATTCAACATAATGGTTGAGATGCTTCCAAGCACACATTGACATCTTAAATCTCTTTGAATACATGCATCTAGCATTAGTAATTGGATTATAACCTAAAAACAAAAGTACATAGGTTAATTTAATCCAACCACCAACCAGTGGAAACAATAGACCATAAAAAATAACACTTACCAACTGTGTACTCTTTAGGGCAATCACAGATGTTCATGCATGCCTTCCAAGGCTTCTTCTCCTTCATGCGCCTATGCACACCTACATCATTGAACAAGCCAACAAAATATAAGTTCAAAAAATTGCAGTAGCTGACATGGTTATATCTCACAATTTTCTAAATTCTAGTGTTGGTTTCAATATTTTGCGAAGCTCATGCAGTGTGCATTGGACAGTGTTGTGGAGGGTCCAAAAAATAGACCGGACCTGTGTCCTTCTTCTTTCTCTTATGAATCAATCAGCCAACTTTGAGTAAAAAAATGAATCAGCCATTGCCTTTTGAAAAGAAAATACATGTGGCGCAGATGCCCGCTGAATACATATGATCTATGGTGTTCCCATCAACAATTGAAAGATTCAATTAAGACTGAATTAGTTACTTCCACACATAGTAAAGAATAAAAGCTTAAAAGCCACCAAAACATATTAAGTCAAATCAGCAACAATCCAAAATTACAACAACCATGATATTCAGAAACACTGAACGGCCAACATCATTCTACTTCTACCCCTAACAATGGCATTCCCTTCCATTAGACATGCATACTGACTTTCGGCATAATCAATCTAAATGAACTTGATTTTATACTGCAATACATATCAAAAGCCCACAAACTAGAAAATATCTCACTGAAACGCATATGAATACCTTTAGCATGGATGGTGTGAGCGCCTTCATCAGAGCTGCTGCTCATGTCTTCATCATAGCTGGTGTAGGCACCCTCATCTGGACTGCTGTACTCGCCTTCATCAGAGCTCATGTGCTTCCCTTCATCAGAGCTAATGTACACCACTCCATCGGAGCTCATGGACGCTCCTTCATAAGAGGAGCTATAACCAGATCCATCTGAGCTGCTGTCCGAGTTTTCGTCAGAGCCACTGTCAGCGCTTCCATCAGAACTGACATCCACAGGCTCAGTTCGAGATCCCCTCATACTCAACCGTCGCACTGACCTACGGCACCATCGATTCTCAATCAAAACAATAGCAGCTTATAAATAACCATCGATTTACTTCCATATGAGTTCATCCCAAAACAGAAAGAATCACAACACAAGATCTATAATGCCTAGAAAACGAACCAAAAGCAGTGCGAATCGCTAAAAAAAGAGAAGAGATGCAAGATCGAGATAGATGGAAAGTAAATCCATGCATGCAGACCATTCCGAAATCAAGAGAGGCAAGAAATCGCACCGGTCGCGGCTGACGAAACGCCTCTGTCACCACCAGTTGAGAAACCGAGAGAGAAAAGAAGGAGATAGACTGTCTTCGTTGGCTCCGCCACCTGCCGCTTCATATTCGCCTCCTCATAGGCCACACACATTGCTCTACATGGGCTGGGCCCAATAATATATGGGCTATTCTAATACCTGTTGATCCCTATATCTCCCTATATGCACAACAAATGCATCTTTTTTTCTTAGGCTTCTTATCTTTTCCCCTTTTTTCCAAGAAATATATGCATGCCCAGGTTTTTCATCATGATAACCATGTTTTCAAACTTGCTAAAAAAATACAGCCAAGCTAGCTTTACTCTCTCATCATAGTGGCCATTTTTTCAAATCGAACATATTCATATCTATTATGCAAAAAAACTTAGGTTTCATATCTTTTCCCCTCTTTTTTCCAATAAATATATGCATGGCCAGATTTTTCATCATGATAACCATGTTTTCAAACTTGCTAAAAAAATACAGCCAAGCCAGCTTTATTCTTTCATCATAGTGGCCATTTTTTTAAATTGAACATATTCATATCTATTATGCAAAAGAAAAATCTTAGGCTCCATATCTTTTCCCCTCTTTTTTTCCAAGAAATATATGCATGGCCAGATTTTTCATCATGATAACCATGTTTTCAAACTTGCTGAAAAAATACAACCATGCCAACTTTACTCTCTCATCATAGTGGTCATTATTTCAAATTGAACATATTCATATTTTGCAAAATTTCCCTTTTCCCAAACATGTTTACAAGATACCATGATTTAGTTGAAGATTCTTGCAATGTGAAACTATTTTCATCGACAACATGTTTTCAGCGGGTCTATGTGCCATTCGGCGCAACGGGTCGACTAGTAAATGATAAAAACCCATTTATAAGACGTTTTGGATAGCTGACATGGGACGTTGTCTGAATGTGAACAGGGAGTATAATATTCTTTATTACTCCCTCTATTCCTCGTATTAGGTTTGGTCAAAGTCAAGCTTTTTAAACTTTGACAAGGTTTAGAGACAAAAACATTAACATATACAATAACATTAGATTTATTATTGAATGTACTTTCATATCATATAGATTTGTTATGGTAAATGTTTACATTATTTTCTTTAAACTTGATCAATTTTTGCAAAGTTTGACTTCAGTTAAATCTAATATGCAGATTAAATAAAAATGGAGGGAGTATAAGCAAATTAGGTGTTAATTTGACCAGCTGACTGTGCAGAGAGCAGTCCAAGGTCAAGGAGGGGTGCCTGTACTGTGTCAGTAGGCAGTACCTTTCGTCGGATCGTAAGTATGGCAGCTTGCTCAGCCCTCTCTGCGGCGACCCTTCTCTCGGCCGCGGCGCCGGTCAGCAGACGGCGAGCGGCAGCGTCGCCGCGGCTTCCCGGCAAGCGCGTCTCCGGCGCTGTGCGGTGTAGCGCTGCTCCAGGCGGACTCGGGATCTCGGGGAAGAGTGAGTTCTCTGTTTTCGAGTTTTAGCGAGGATCCGATCCTCGTTTCAGACTTCCGGCCTGATGTGTTTCTTTCCCTCCGATTGGCGGGTGGCAGTGGCCGAGCTGTGGCAGGCAGCGAGGAGTGCGCCTCCGGGGACCGTGCTCGCCGCCGTGGCTGCCGTGGCGGTGGTCTACAAGGTGGCGTCCGGCCTCCTCGCCCCGCCGCCTCCGCCGCCGCGACGATGGCAGGAGGTCGCTGATGAGGCGCTGCCACCAGCTCCGGAGCCAGTGCAGGTGGGGGAGATCACGGCGGATGAGCTGCGGCAGTACGACGGGTCTGACCCCGAGAAGCCGCTTCTCATGGCCATCAAGGGGCAGATCTACGATGTCTCCCAGAGCAGGTCGATTTCCTTAGCCCCGTCTCATATACACCTCCAATTCGGCTCTGTTCCTTTGAATTCAGACTATCAGCTGTGACCACCAAATCAATTACTCCTTCAGAACTCGGTTGTGATCACTGATCAGTGGTATCACTTGTTACTAGTACAAACGAAGTTCTCTAGAAAATGCTCTCTGAAGTGAAAACATTCTTCCTGGTCTCGAAGCGCTGATAGCCTAAACCTGGAAGCAAATGAATAGTTCTTCTATGCTAGGTCTTGTAGTATTCCAAATAAGAATTGTAGGAAATTGGCGAAATAATTCAAAGGCGGTATTTCGAAGAGTCATAGGCTGTTGTGCAATAAGAGAATTATTAAAATCATTGACCTGAGTTGATATTTTGCTCTGGACTATGGGAACTCGTGACTTTCTTTGGCAAACCTAAGTGTCTAGCAAAGAAAGGTGAAAATGATTTCGGTGTTAGTAGCTATTAGACCAGTTGTTCATGAGATATTTGACGGACATTCAAATATGCATATAAAATGTACATGCTGCAAATAGACTACTGGAGCTCCTCAATTCTGATGCCTAGCATAGAGCATTTCCGCTGTTGGTATGTTTGGAGCCGATGTGGGTTCAATTGTTCAAAGCTAATCTACATGGTGTATTAGATGTTGTATGTTCAAGTTCACTTATTCATCACTATTCCATATATATATATTTATTATCTTTATACGTACCTGTAAAATGCGATCACAAGTTAGCAAACTTTAATAGTACTATCATTTGAGTTGATGGCTTGAGGCTCGTGAGAACTATGATAAACCGATACTATCAAACAAGGAATTGCACACCTAATTACCTGGACTATATTTTTGCAGTGCATCAGCAAGGTCAGAACTTCGTTATATATAGTGTATAAACCTTGCTGATTTTTTCTTTATGGACTGTACTTTTGGAAACTCCCTCCAATTCAAATCGCATGAAAATATCATTTGTTTTTCTCTTCTGGTATAGAGTAAGGTAATGCATATCCCTTCTCCAAGACATTAGTCTTCATTCTCTCGATGCAAAGTTTTTGACTCAACCTTTTGCCATCAAAGATGAAATTGCTAACTTGCTATATGTACTACCACATGGCGTTTCACATTGATCTACATCATTTTTGGGTGTTGCTGATTTGATTTGTTGCCTTGCAGAATGTTCTATGGGCCTGGTGGACCATATGCATTGTTTGCTGGTAAAGATGCCAGTAGGGCATTGGCGAAGATGTCCTTTGAGCCACAAGATCTGACAGGTGATGTATCTGGCCTCGGTCCATTTGAGCTTAGTGCCTTGCAGGACTGGGAGTACAAGTTCACCAGCAAGTATGTGAAAGTAGGAAGCATCAAAGGAACAGGACCCATAGAAGAGGGTAATGTTAGCACTACCTCTGAAATACAGGCGGAAGCTGCTGCGGTGAAACTGAATGGAGAGAAAGCACCATGAGGCACTACTGTATATAATCGACCCTGAATTTCGACGAGATATACTGTATAGCTTTGGATCCAAAGAGAGTCAGAAACCTGGATGCCTCCTAGCTGCTATAGTGCTGTTACCTGCATGCATCTGGAGTGTAATCCACAGATATACTGTATAGCTTTGTCTGACTAGAAGCTGAAGTGTAATGTTAAGCATCGAATGACTTTTTTTTGGCGAGGGAAGTATTGAATGACTGAATTAGAGAATTAGAAGAGTATGATGCCCCGTTGTTGCACTCCACAAGATAATGCTGTTGATTTTCCTTTGTCAAGAACATGGTTCCGGGCCTCTTTGATTCGCAGGATTGGAAAAACACAGGAATAGGAAAAACGTAGGATTGAAATGATATGGCCATTGGATTCCTATAGGATTTGAGGTTGTTTGATTGTATCACAGGAAAAACAAAGGATTTCTTCCAAGAGGTTGGAGTGGATGCTAGAATTCCTATGAAATATAGTACAAATGAATCCATAGGAAAAAATCCTATGGGATTCAATCCTGCGAATCAAACAAGCAACGCAGAAAAAATTCCTAAGAACACTAATCCTTTAAAAATCCTATAAAAATCCTTTGAATCAAAGAGGCCCTCCATGTTATTGGTTGGATCCCTTCATAGTCAATGCTCAATCAAAACAAGTATATATCCCACTTGGTTTATACCTCATGGTGGGCAAAAGCTATGTCATTTATTAAACAAAAGTCACAGAAAATTCTAAGTGAATTAGCTGTTCACCTAACCTAACTGACATGAAAAGAAAAACAGTTCAATGATAACGTACATGTTCTGTTACATTACCACCTACTCCCTCCGTTCCAAAATAGATAACTCAACTTTGTACTAACTTTAGTATAAAGTTGGGTCATCTATTTTGGAACGGAAGGAGTAGATATGAAATCTAGAAGCTCAGGTTTTCGATGCACTTCCATGAGCCTCCAGGTTACATCGATGATTACTCAAGGACGAATTAGCCAGGAGCTGTTTTCTGTTATGCTATCTGTCAAGTGCCGAATTTCAGTTAGACAACGCGTGGCCAACTAACCTAAAGGGACCTTTCGTTAATTCCAGCCTCATGCTTATGTCACGCACGATTCCATGTACTAGTCAACTGCGTTTAGCGCAGCTTGTTCCGTTGTTCCGTTGCATAGGAAGTTGATGCCAGCTTGTCTTTTGCCTTTTCTTTGCTGAGGTGAGGCATGAGAAAACTGGCATACAAGAGTATATTCTTTCTGGGGTTCAGTTTATGATACCTCCAAGCGATAACCCTTTTGTTCTTGAGAGAACATGAAGATATTCAAATTATAAAGTGTCTGTTTGGAATGCATGAATTGTACCGGGATTTCACATGATTTCACATGAAGGAAGTAAATTTGCAGAAACGTTGAGGCTTTTTTGTTTGAAGTGGAAAATGACAAGCTAACACCAACAGTCCAACACCAACACAGTATACTATGAAAAAGATGTCTGAACCAGTGGAAGTCAAAAGGACTGTAGTAGAATTTAAGCATGAGCGGCAGTACTGGTAAAAGATAAGCCTCTCCCACTGGAAAATGCTTCTTGACGAGGAAGGATCTCTTGACTTTTTTGTGTGTAGTGCGTGATCTCTTGACTGATTTGTTTTTCCACACCGTCTCTACTTTCACAAATTAAGCTTGGTCTAACACCACCCTGACACTCTACCTTAAACGCACAGAAACACAGCTATTTCTGCATAAAGAAGACGTCAAAGTCAAATGTGTGGAAGGACTGAAGTACATTTTTCTTCATATTTTTCTGAGGTTCTGACTGCAGCGCAAGAAATTTCACATTAAGTTCGTCACTTTGAACATGTCAATGCAAAATTTGAGAATTTTCTGTATTAGGAATATGCAACTTGTACTCCATGACGGCCAAAGGCCAATATATATACATGTTCAAGCGGTAATATACAGCAAACCCCTCATACAACAGGAAAAATATACATGCTATAATATAACTCTAACACCCCTGAAACTCATGGTGGATGAATCATACTGAGTTTGGAGAGATAGAAGCCATGCCGCGCTCTAGTCTGGGCCTTCGTAAAGAAATCCGCCAACTGCAAGTCGGAAGGCACATACTGAAGAGCCTACACACCAGCGCGCACATAGGAAGCATCAACACCAATATGCTTGGTGAGCTCATGCTTCAAAGGGATGCGCGCAATGCTAATAGCATATGTACTGTCAGACAATAGCAAAGTAGGTGTAGTGACAGAAACACCAAAGTCCTTAAGTAACCACCGTAACCAAGTCACCTTAGCCGTCAAAAGAGCCATAGCTCGCATTCAGCCTCTGCACTCGAACAGGAAACCACTGTTTGTTTCTTCGTCTTCCAGGCAATGAGAGAACCACCAAGAAAAACACAATAAGCAGGAAGTGAACGCGATAGGAGGGATCACTAGCCCACGTAGCATCCGAATAGGCCTGAAGCTGTAAGGAATTGGAGCGAGGAAAGAATAGACAGTGAGATATCGCGCCCCGAAGATACCAGAGAACATGAAGGAGGTGACTATAGTGAACCAAAGTGGGAGCAGGGACAAACTGCCACAGAATATGGACATGATAAGAGATATTCGGACGAGTGACAGCTAGATAGACAAGACTCCCAACAAGATGACGATAGTGTGTCGGATCAGACAAGGGGTCACCATCAGTATCACGGAGGTGAACATTGAGCTCCATGGGAGTCTCAACAGTACGCTCATCAGTAAGAGTAGCACGAGCAAGAAAATCCTGGATATACTTTTCTTGGGAAATAAAAAAGCCATCAGAGGTAGAAGAGACCTCGATCCCAAGAAAGTAGCAAAGAGGGCCAAGTTCAGACATAAGAAACTGCCCACTAAGACGAGCCTTCATAAAAGGCCGTATACTCAGGGTCGTCGCCAGTGATGATCATGCCATCAACATAGAGAAGAAGAAGAGTCCGACCATGAGCAGAAAGGTGAACAAATAACATTGGATCATAAGCACTCGCTGAAAAACCAGCGGCAGTCACCACAGAGGCAAAACGCTCAAACCAGGCGCGAGGGGCTTGCTTAAGGCCATAGAGAGAGCGATGAAGACGGCAGACCATGCCATCAGGAACAGAATACCCAGGTGGCAGCTGCATGTAAACCTCCTCACACAGCTCACCATTAAGAAAAGGCATTCTTAACATCAAGCTGAGACACAGGCCAATGGCGAACAGAGGCCACGATAAGAAGTGTACAAATAGTGGTCATATGGGCCACAAGAGCGAAAGTCTCATCATAATCACGGCCATGCTCCTGCTGAAAGCCGCGAGCCATAAGATGAGCTTTCTAACGCTCAAGAGAACCATCGGAGCGAGTCTTAACCTTGTAGACCCACTTACATGTGATGGGACGAACACGAGGAGGAAGAGAAACAAGATCCCACGTACTGGTGCGCTCAAGAGCGGCAAGCTCCTCTGCCATCACAAACTGCCATTCGAGATGAACATCAACTTCACGATAACAGTCGGCTAAAGAACAGTAGCACTAGCGGTTGGGAAACCAATGCGATCAACAGGCGGAAGCGTACGAGGACGCAAGCCATAAGGCCAACTCCACCGCGCGATCCCAAACGAACGTCCGTTTTGTCCGGATTCTGTCCGTTTGGGTAGGCCAATGGGGTCGTGTCCGGGCGTGTCCTGGGATGCGGTGGCTGTGCGCCCAGCGCGCGGACGCATCCGTTTGCCCCATCTTGTCCGCGTCTATTTAAAAAAGAGAGAAACGTTTGAAATGTGAAGCCCTAGTTCATCAGGCCAGCGGCCTGCACGTCCATCGCCGGCATCAGCTAGCGACCAGCAACACAGCCAGCCTCCAAAATGAATAGTTGTCCTCGTCGGCAACACAGCCAGCGGCCGGCAACACAGTCGGCCTCCAAAATGAATGTTTTTCTCGCCGGCACACAACCAGCGGCCCAGCGGGAGGGTGGCACCCATGCCAGCCTCCAAAAAGAACGGCTACGGCTGATGGGACGACCTAGTTCAGGCCTTCGGCGTCGAGCATCTCCTTCTGCTTGGTCTCGAACCATGCCCTCTTCTTGTCGCTCATCTTCGATAAGTCCACGCTCATGATCGCAAGGGCCACCTCCTTCCCTTTGGTGGCGGCATTCGTGGCCTTGATGTCGAGCTGCCTCTGCCTGGCCTTGACATTGTTGGCCTCGATGTTGAGCTGCCTTTGCCGGGCCGCCTCCTCCATGTCGAGCTGCCTCTGCCGAGCCGCCTCCTCCATGTCGATCTTCCTCCTCTTGGCCGCCTCCTCCATCTCAAGCTTCTTCCTTTGAAGGTCTAGGTATCGCTTCATTTGCTCGTCCTTGATTTGCCGCTTCTTCTCGTCCCTCACATCCTTTTGAGAAATCATGCCATGCAAAGTGTCATGCAATGCCATGGATGAGGCATCACGTATGTCATCAACCTTGGAGTTGGTCTTGCCCCTCGGCCTCTTCAACGCCTCGCCATCTCCACCTCCGGCGAACTTGGTCGTCTTCAATCCTCTCTTCCGTTGAAGTTCACGATATTGATCATTGAACTTAGGGCAATTGTTGATGATTGTCCAACAATGCGTAAGAGTGAATGGCTTGTCATTATGCCGGGCCTTGAATGCCTCCAAAGATTGAAATGCCTACATGACATGATCAACAACAAGTGAACATGGAAACATATACAAGGCCGAAGTCTCATGGCCGTAGCAAGGAAAGGACTAGGAAGAGGAGAGCATACCATGTCCCCAACGCCGATACCACTCATGGGCCGTGCTTCAACGCTCTCAAATGCGGCGCAATACTTGTTGCACTCTTGTTGGATGAACAACCACCTCTTTTGAATCGGGCCGATGCCACGGTTACTTGTAATTTGGTAGGGCTCAAACATCTTCCTTTCATGGAATGTTTTGTGGACTCTCGTAAAAAAACAATGCCCTTTTGTTGCGTGCCGATCCTCGGATCTT